GCAGGGCGGACGGGAAGGGGCTACTGGTTTGTCCGACAGAGAGGTTCGCCCTCAGTCCGCTTGAGGCTCCACGGGAGCTAAGTAAACGAGCAGACGATGACGAGTGAAACCGAAATATTATCCTTGCTGCATTGAGCAATATCGTCTCAGATGTAGATGTCGTTCTCTTCTAGCGACCTTCCCAAAACAGAAACTCGACACTTTTTATTGTAATTACTCTCTTTTAAAATACCAAGTTGTTTTTTTTTTACTACCAGGGCAAGCAGAGTAGCCGCCGGGGTCGACCAGGGAGCGTAGCGTGACTTGGAACCCAGGGACGGGGCGGGGGCAGGGGCAGAGGCAGGGGCAGAGCACAAGTCGACCAGAGCCGCAATCGATAAGAGCTGGGGAGAAAATAAAGCTTCCCCTTGGGTAATTTCGAAGCCATTACGGGCTTAGATTGAAAAGAACACAACCGGATGAATTCCCACTGCTCTGCGAAGAATTGTTTTCCGCTCGGCTGGCGGAGTCTGCTACTACTACAGCCCCGCAAGGCACCGCCGCTACGATCTCCGAGGAGGAGGGGGAAAAGGGAGAGAGAGAGAGGGGGGGGGGAGAGCGGGAGAGCGGGAGAGAGGGCAGAGAGAAGAGAGAGGGAGGGAAAGGGAGGAGGGTTGAGCGCCGCCTCAAACAGTACATTACAACCCCGAGTTGCACACCTCTCGCAGTCAGAGCCACGCTCGGCCAGGGGGTGCAAAGACGAGGGGGGGGGGGGACTCGGTCTTTTGAAAAGGAGGATTCCGTTTCCCTGGCTTTATTCATGTTAACGTAAATGAGAAATGTAAAGTCGTACACTAAATTTGTTTTCATAGAAATGAAAAAAAAAAGATACACGTGCGCCGGAAAACGGATTAGCCAAAAGTGACGGTGCGTTTTCATTTACGTTTTGCGTTGGCGTCGCCCCCCTCCCTCCCAACAAAGGAAATGAGACTGCAAAGGATCAAAATCCTACGCAGGTCCAGGTCTTTTGCAGGAATTTAACAGAGTAAAACACTTTGAAGTGAGCAATTGCAAGTTGAATACCAGCAAGTGTTAAACTTCAAAGTAGCCACTTGCCAGTGTTGAACTTCTCTGTTCCTTAAATTGGACAAACCAGCAGCCAGCTACCTACTTGAACACTTGCACGTGCCGTCTGTAAGGGCAGTACACCACGGTGTTGCGGGTTTGCCTACCACATCTGCCCGTAAGGCGCCATAATAGCACCTTCCTTGGGTATGCATGCAAGCCCACAACACTGGGGAGTATTAGCATTTACACTTGGTACTTAACACATTTGTAGTTGGACAGGACACCTTACAAGTGCTAGGGCTTGGTTTATCAGTGTCCCACTTTCCTGTTTCAGCGAAACATGAGCAGTAACAGGGGAGGACGACCTGAACCTGATCCGAAACGTTCCTTTGATGCTACGGTCCGAGGGTCCCGTGAAAGGCGCTGCATTTCTGGACGAGCTGGTGGCGCTGGCGTTGATGACAGGATGACGGGAGCACTGGTACTAATCACTGAGCCAAGCGCTCTCTCTGTCTCTCTCTGTCTGTCTGTCTGTCTGTCTCTCTCTCTC